GGGACTCCCCTCCACCACCACCAATGTGCAGCATCCACCTGGATGATGCGACAGCAGCCATAGTGCGCCAGAACGCTCCCCACACTATCAGCTATCAGTGGGGAGGAGAGCAGAGTAATTAAGCCATTTTTTAATGTGATTTATGCAACTATCAGTGGGAGCGTCATAAATCATTAGACACGGAAGATCAAACGTGTAGAGGGTAGTTTCCCGGAAGTCATCGTCACTTCTAAACACGACCTGCTAAATTAAAAAAAAGTGGCTATTTGACTCAATTCTTTAATTTTACGATTTCAACTTGTACACTTGTAATTTAAATTTAATTTATATTATGTTTATTCTAAGAAACGGTAGAAATTCGGATAGTGTTTTACTTGGCTAAATTGATCCTAGGATCTCGTCCGGTCGTTTCTTGAAAGAAGCCAGGGTCTCGGCTATAATAAGTTCCAACACTGTGAGTTGCTTGGATAGGAGCACCCACTAAGTAAATATGTAATTGTGTGGTATATAACAGCTTCAGAATTCAACATTATCATAATAAAGCAAGCAAAAAACTATACAAGGTACTGCAATTAAAACACAGGAATAAATCATAGGATCTATGTGTTCAGTCTGAACAGGTTCAAAATCATACGAGAACATAAACATACAAACAAGAGGAGTCCATCTAGCCAGTTTGCCTGTTTGGACAGTAATAACTAATTGAGCAAAATATCTCATCCAGCTTTTTTTAAAGGAAACCAAGTTACTGGTTTTAGCAGTATGACTGGGTAGCTTGTTCTATTCTCCCACTGCTCTTAGCATTAAAAAGTGCATAAATTCTAATTTTAGATGCTCTTATATGTAGTTTCCTAATTTTGTTTGCGTTGTTATTGCTTTCCACAACTAGAAAATTCACGTTAGGGTCAGAATAAATATTTGTTTCTAACTCACATTCTTCTTTCACATTTTTTTTTTGGCTTTTTAGTAGCTGTATGCAAACCCATGTCCTTGTCTACTGTACATTTAAACATCATTTGCCAGTTGTTTGCCAGTCTTGAAAAGACTTAAATCTGAATGTGATCTAACATTTATTTAATCAATTTTAGGAGTTTTCATACAGTTCTTTAATATATAACAACATCTTAACTTCCAACAATGAAAGCACAACAGTGTACCCAAATGTAGCTAGAATTTACACGATGCTCACTCCTAACACATTTACATCAAAGACAAGACTGATCATTGTCATTCTAACCCCTGTAAAGCCTGATATGTATCAGTCAGTCGGACACACAGTAAGGAAGCACAATAGTTACTCAAGAGATGCTACAATATATAGATGGGGCTGACTGCGTGAGCACCAGTCTTTCTTGCTAATTGCTAATTTTGCAATATTAGACTTCTGCACATACCTAATCTTTTCAACTTCAAACCCAATGCAAGTATCTCTTATTGCTTTTTTGCAAAGAAAGAGCAGTACATCACTTTTCCCCCAGTGTTTTCCCAGTGTGCAATGTGTGTCTGTAAGATAACAGTTTCAGTGATTCGTTTTCCTGAGCAACCTCCAGAAAAGTCAAGTGGGAGGAATGCAGCTTTGGTTTTCATTACAATGAAAGAAAGCCTAAACAACAAAGTTATGAATTAACCCATTCTTCAATGGTAAGGTGATGTTTTCTAACTAAACAGACCTGTTCATACAATTTTTCTCATCCTACTCATCTAGCCTTCCTCTTTTTTTTCTCTGAGATTTACTATATATCTGTTACCAAAGAAATAATATTTCAGTAATATCTAGAACATGTGGAGATCACTATCATTTTTGTACCCATACCAGGGACCACAAACACTGTATAGAAATATGGAAATTCAAAGGTGCAGCGAGAGGCTTTGGATTATTATTTTTTTATTTAAGATGACCTTAATTAAAATAATACACAATACTAAATCAGTTAAGTAAAATATATTTGCTTCAACAGGCTAACTGTAACTAGCTCAGATTAATATTTGTCCACTACTTCAAGCAGTCTGCATCTCTGACTATTACAAAAGAGACAGAATGGTGATTTTATATATAAAAGAATGAATCTAAGTAATTATTTTCATAAAGCCCTCCATTTACCAATAACTACTTTTAATTAATAAAACTCGGTTTGCTTTCTGCTGACCTTATATTAACAATTTCCATAAGTATAAGCACAGAAATCATCCACCATTAATTAATGATATCAGAAGTTTTACATGGGGCGTAGGTGTTACTTTTAACTTTTATTAGTTAGTTTGACTTTAGTAAGTCTGTCAAACGATATCGGATCAGAAGTTGCAAACATTGTAGAAGCAGCAGTGGAAGTTTAAAACATTTCAGATGGTGTCTGAAACAATCTGGCCAACCATGATTTGGCGTAATTGACTATGAGTAAACAAGTCAGACAGATAGCTGAATAGTCTTCCTTTATTTGTAATTTGGCTTGTGTTCTTCCATCCATCAATCAATCATCTAACCTCATCATCCAGGTCAGGGTCGTAGGGGAGCTGGAGCCTAACCTGGTGAGCAGTGGGCACAAGGCAGGATACACCCTGGATGGGCCACTAGTCCATCACAGGGCACAAACTGACACAATCACGCACACCAGGGCCAATTTTTCCAAGAGCCAGTTAACCTGCCAGTGTGTCTACGGACTGTGGGAGGAAACCCATGCAGGCAGCACCCCAGGAATTGTCCCCAGGGCCCTAGTGCTGCGACGCAGCAAACACTGTACTGTATTCTAATGTTCCAAAAATCTGTAAAACTCTTACCAATATGGTACATGGTTCTAAGGCAACACTGCCTTAGTGCAGTAGTGAGTGGATATATTGCATGTGATATATTGGATTGTGCTGGTCAAGGTGTAACAGGCCTCATGCATCGAGCCAGTTACAGTAGTCACATCACCCACCTCTGAAATCCAGACAGTGTATACAGTGCATAGGGTTCACTGGAGACTGTGATCGAGTCCTGGTAGGGACAGGTAGAGCTTCGCTTGTTATGTGCCCTAAAAGCTTTCATTCAGGAAATCTCACCGATAACCAGCTGCATGTGTGATAAGCGGTCATGCATTTCATTTTGACAGTCCACTCGTTAAACCGTTAAAAGTTAACAGTGTGCAGCAGGCGTTACGTGCCAGTAGCCTCGCTGCGCAACAGATCATATGAAGAAGTGAGCAGCTGCACATTTTTGAAGAATCTAATTTAATTTTTTGTGTGAAGGATAGCACTTACTATAGTACAGTGTCACTAAAGATCATGCCAGGGCACTGGCATGGGGCAGAGCAAAGAGCACCACCTACTGGTCCACTAACACCACTTACAACATAGATCTCGTTTTGCTTACATCTCCCATCCCTGTGATGACCAAAGTTTAACTTCTGTGATCTGACAAGGTCAACCTACAAGATGGTACTGCAGCTCTAATTCAACACCTTATACATATAATGGCATACAGTAAGTTACATTACCATGACTATAAATTATTATAGAATTATGAATAAGAAAGAAGCTGTAAGAAAAAAAAAGTTGATGTTTAAGTCAATGTTTTTCTGGCATGGGTTGGAAATGTAATTGAAAGGATTAAAGTATCTTAATCAAGAAAAAAAGACGTAGTAGTCTATGATTTTTGTGCCCCAAACACTGTGACATTCTTGAGTTCATAGCTTCTGGGTTTTAACAGCAAGCTAAGAATCTAATTACAGATATCGGTTCTCCTAGCACTGCCTTTATGTCAGCTTAATACTCTGTGAAAATCTCCAGTAGTAGGTTTGCTTTTGCAGAGCATTTCCTGACAGATCATTGTGAAGCAGTCAAGAAGCATACTGTATGCATTCCTTAATAGGTTTAGAGCCCTCGTTTGAAATAAAAAACAAAACTCTGTATCTGACAAGATGAGGCTATATGTTGTGGAAGTAATGTTGGTGCCCTCTAATTTTTAACCTTCCTCACATTCTAATATCTACTGTGTGGGGTTTGTACACACTATAACTTCATGACCTATAAGAGCAGCGACCCACAGGGATGTGAGCACACATGTGAAGGGGTCAGGGATGTGGTCTGGAGATTATGAGGGGTGGAAAGCATCCTGTGGGGCGACAAGCCTTCATATGAGAGAGGCTGGGTTTGGCGGCACTCCTGACAACATTTTCAGTTCACATTGCATTGTTCTAACTGTCTTACTTTGGTAATTGCTGTTTGAGATGGTGTCTTCCGTCTAGGATTTAGGTCATGAATACTGAAGTGGAAGATACACCACATTCAGTATATTTCATTAAACTGAAATATACTGTAAACATATATATATCTCTGCCAGTATTTTTGGTAATATAGCATGCAGCATGCCTGTCACTGGCTCTCTACACAGCCACCAACCCAACACTTTCTATGATCTTGTCACTTAAACCGCAGGAGCTCTGCACATTGTCAGTCGCCACTTCATCTAATGTTTTCTTTTTACAGGATGGAGCCCGACTACGTTTTACAATATTAGGACATAAGGTTACAAATGAGTTTTCAGCAATTTACCCTGTCTAGTCTGTTGGGTTTCTCATAGTTAAGTGATATGAGGATTTCATCCAAATTACTTGTTAAAGTTGCCATGGTCTCTGTGTCACCTTTATTGGTATTTATAATTAATAAGATATCATTCCCATATTTTCTTAATTTGGAGACACTGGGTTTTTGGTGGAGTAGAATAGAGTGACTTTTGAAACAATGAGTAATAAAGCATCAATGCAGAGCAGAAGATGTCGCAATCTGAACAGCATGTTAATTAGCTGTCAAGTCAGTATCTTCCAGCATGCGTCCTGGCAATTGTTTTGTCTGCACGGACTTCAGTCTACCCCAGACCTCAGGGTAGTCGCCAGATTTGCTCAATCTTAATTGTAGATGAACTTTTCTCCTCTTAGGGAAAAGATACATTCTCATCAGGGACTTGACGGTCACTATCCTTGATCCTTAGTGGCTTCAAAAACACATTTACTTAAACTGTTAAATTATTCCCCATAATAATTGTGTATTTATTTACAGTGCCTTCCAAACATGTACGGATAGCAAAGGCAAAACTTTTAAAATTAAGAAATTTGTTTTTGTGATCAAGAGATTAAAAAGGATTGTAAATTCAATATAATATTAATTTTATTTTTGAGTAATTCTGTGCATACATTTGATAATATGAAGTAAATATATGTTCTGTTCAACACAGAACTTTCAAATCATAAGTACCTGTGATAAGGGACGCTGTGACAAACTCTGAAGAACGCATACCTCCACCATCCCAACATTGTCACCTCAGTTGTTTGTATTTTAAGTGGTCTGTTCTTTCAGACCCTATCTGAGATCCTTGTTCTTACTTATCTCTCAGGAAAGGCGGCATGGTCCTCTTCCTTCTGTGCTGCTCTCGGCGATCTCTTTCACACTCAGCTCATGAATCATTACTCTTTTATTCCATCATCACACACCCGGCAGCAGAGTTTTCAACACTATGTGCTCCATGGCGCCTAGTTCTCCTTCTCTTCTGTAACATCACTACTCAACTCTAGACCTCACTCATATTCACCACCAGATGACTCTCCAGCACAAACTTTTGTCCCTGACAGAGCTTCAGTCAGAAATGCTTCTCCCTCACTCTTTTGCAATCTGAGACACCTGTCTCAAGCTGTGCCATCTAGACTCCTCTTTCTCTCGCTGCTGTGGGGAGAAGGTACACTGCTGCCTTGCCAGGCGGTTCCCCTCTCCTCCAGGTGCCAATGCCTCCAGTCAGCCCTCTCTGGCTCAGCTGGCTATCCTAGTTCCTCAACTACACACTTCACCCCCACAGGGGCCGGCAGATGCAGACCAGCTGTGTGCCTCATTGCATTCTGCAGGTTTTCCTAATGAACAGGTGGCCATCTTGGCTCAAGACCACACCATTGCGCCTCGGGTTTGAGCCAAGATGGCGGCCTTCTTGCAAAACCACCTCTCTCTACCTCTCAGGCACATTCACTTAAGACAATCACCATCTGGATTCTGCAACCCCAATGAGCTCACAAAACGTTTTGTGTAATCATCTGAGGAGCTTTGCTTCAGCTATTTTGAATTCTTGTCTATTCTTGTGGTGTTCTGACTTCAGTTTTTCTTCTTTCAAGCTGTAAAATGCACGGTCAACTGGATATAAATCAGGCAATTGATGTAGTCAATATAAGAAATTCCTCCTTTTTTTCCCTGATTATCATCTTGGTTGCATTGTTCATGTGTTTGGGCCCTTGTCATGCTGCATGGAGATGCACCACCCAATAAGTATGGAAGCATTTTCTTCAAATTAAGCAGATAAAATGTGGGGAAGTGTGTAAAGTCTTAGAAAATTCCACAGTTTAGGTTTAGGTGGATCACAGTGTATGATGTCTTGATTTTGGGACACAGAGTAAGCCAGAATTCAAAGAGTGGAGATCTATTGTTTAGCAAGTCTTTGAGGTAGGAGGGGGTATAATTATTTATTGCTTTTTTAGGTATGTTCTGCCTATTTCAAGGCAGAACAATACAGATTCCATGTTTGGCTCTAACGTGTTGTTGAAGATTTAGAAAAGTTGTCTAAGATTAGTTTGACTACTCTCAATAATCCATCCATCCTTTGATACACCCTGAACAGAATGCCAGTCCAACACAGGACAAATACACAGATACACACACTCACACCAAGGCCAGTTTTCCATGTCGCCTAGTAATCTACCAGTGTGTTTTTTATTTCAGTAGAAATTCATGTGGAGAACATGAAAATATCATACAGATAGCACCTGAGGCCCAGAATTGAAGCCAGGGCCCCAGCACTGCAAGGCAGCAATACTAACCACTGTACCCCTGTGCCGCCACTGTTGCTCTTGATAATGTTAAAGAAAAACAATGATCCTGCTGAAATAATGACTTGCTTAGTGTCCTATTGATGCTGCTTTCAAGCCAGTTGATGAACAGTGAGGTCTGTGTCCCTCTATAGGTGCTCATAATCAGTATCTTTAATAGATCATAGTAGCTGGATATAGCAAAGAGAGAGAGGGATAGAAGAGACACAGAGAATTTTTCAAGGGGCCATGCAATCCAAATGAAAATGATTGTGAGATAGGGTGCTGTTGTGCAGCTCAGCCATGTCATCTACAGCTTTGGGATGGGCATTAAATGGACATTAAGTACTAAACTACAACATGCATGGGGGGGGTGAGGAATGATCAGATTTGCAAAGAACAGCTGGATGGTCCGTGATTTTTACCTGAGAGCCATACTCTTGAAGACAAAACCCTGTTTTTTTTTTCCAAGAAACATCTGGCTTTTGTGCTTTCGGTCAATTAACCACTAACTACCAAACAATCTAGATGACCTCCTGTCATTTGTAACCTTTCTTATATTCCTATATACAGTATATGGCCATAGGTCGGGACATTTATTAAGACACAGATATGCTGTGTGAGACCAGAACATCTTCCTATCATTCCACTGTCATACTAAAGTCAACAGGGAAAGTGAAAAAAATCCAGTGCTTCAGGGTACACCATCGCCTCAGGTGCAGTAAAATCCCTATCTGACAAAGGAAAGCTGTTAAAGCAACAGACAGTGTGGCTAAAACATATGAATCTCTCAAGAGGATCCTTCTCTGGTACAGAAATATTCAAGGATGAAATCTTTCCTTATTCTGGCAGGTTGACTTCAGTCTAAATCACCTGATTCAGTTTAGAAGGAAGACATTTTGTATTATTGCTTAGCTTCTGAGCTCTGACAAGATCGATGTCTTTTTTTCTAAATGGAAGGGACGGACCCATAGGTTAATTAAGTAAATCATTGATTTTCCTTATTATTGATTGATGAAACTGTAGAAGCGAAATATGAATGCAGGGCCAGAAAATAAAGCTGTAACAAGACGTAAGCACAGAATGCTACAGTAGTGTCACATTATTATATGACATGAATATGCAGAGCCTTTAAAAGTGTAAACACAGGTTGCCAGCAGGTGTTTCATATGGAATGGTTTTCAGAATTATTTATCATTCCTCTTAGGCTTTTGGGATAGACTGTATTCTAGAATTTTAAAATTTGTATGGAAGAGAAAGAAACCGTGTATTAATTTATCCAATCAGACATGTCAAAATGCCTGGATTAAGCCTAGAATTGCCACATTTTCAATTTTATTTATATTTATACAGTATGGTTTGCATTCTTTGTCTGTTTGGTGTAACCGTGACTCTCCAGTACATTTGTGTCCACTTGAAGAAAGTCTGGTCTCACCATACAGACTACAAGATCTGACATAGCTCCTAGATATTGTATTTTGTATAGTTACACAATTAAATGTTATTATGTGTGTTTAAAATTACAATTTTAAACACACATAACATTACTGAAGAGAGTATGTCCTTTCTCTAATTTTTCATAATCATTAACTCCTTACAAACAATTATTCTTCCTCTTCTCCACATTGAAGTGACAAAGGAATCTGCATTCTAGAGTGAAGAAGATCATTTGAATGCAGAAAGTCTCTTGTTCCAGGGCTTGCAATCGCAATAAAAAACTGCTGGAAATCGTGATGAGTAAGTAACCATGTTGTATACAGTATCCACTGATGGGGTTTAATAAAAGCCCTTCAAACAATACTGAGACAATGCCAAGGTTTACCTTTGCCAACAAATATTTTTGGCTGCTTGTGACTTTTTTAACTCTGGTGATAAAATATTTTTTTGTCAAAATGTCAAGAAAAACGTTTAAACTTTTATGTTTGTGTAGTAGTGTAAAGCAGGAGTTAGGACGCTATACTCGTTTGAGGGTATGTCTTTAAGTGACCAGATGGGGACACTACTGCTATTCCCTTGACCAAAGTACTTTACAGTAGCTTTAATGCACAATCCAACTGTATAAGTTGGTACCGACATTTTATTTAACAAACAGGTAATTGTAACTTGTGTAAGTTCTGTAACACTTGATACATTGTCACCCAGTTTATTAAACACATGTAAAAGACGAAACTGTTTTGGGCGTTCTAAGAATTTGTGCTGTATTAAGATTCTCAGTGTCTCTAAGCCTTCACTAGAGGGAGCAAGTTCAACGTTACATTTTAGGAAAAGACTGCTTTCATTTTTAAACCACGCAAAGAGCAATGATATTAAAAGACGCAATGCTTAAAAACGATCACTAACTGCAGCATCTACTGTTCGATGCGTAGTTCTGATTATATTTAAAAAAATACTTTATAATAATACCGTCTTTCTCAGAATACATTTGCAAATTTGAGAAAGTCGTCACAGGGCATATTGCAACGTGAAGATTTAATCTTAACGATATTAAACTTTTAGTTTTGAAATAAGCAAAGTTTGACTACATCTTCTTTTTCTAATGTTTGAGTTTCTAGTAAAACCCAGTGTTATATACACACATTATGCTTTATTTGATTTTATTTGAAATATTTTGTTAAGCGCACTTTTTGAAATGCTGTCATGATCAGCAAAAAAAAAATGTACTAGATTTAATATGCAGCTACCCATTAGAGAATAAACGCTTTCCCATTTCGCCAAGACCTGTCGATTACTTCACTTTTCATTAATTGTTTTCAGGATTTATGGCTGTGACGCGCGAGCTGCACACCTCGATAAATACCCCAACCAGCGAAGGAAACTCCACTTTCGGCACTTAGTGTGCTCTGTGTATAAAACAAGCCAAAGGAAGGGAGACCTGTTATTTTTCACGGTCGCTTTCCATAAAGATGTTCTGTACGCCCTGCGCGCGCCACTGTTGCGCTTTTCTTCAAGTGCTTAACTAATCGCTGTTATCTGTGCGCGTTTTCTTTCACCAAACGCTTGATTTCTGCAGCACTGCTTCGGACCTTTATTTTGGATTCCTGTAGCGCAGTTCGGAACACTTGGAGGACTTTTTTATTATTATTTCAGCACATGAGAAGGTGACCCCACATTTAAAACACTGGCAATGTTTTGAAAGTCTGCTCGACCACATTGAGAAGGAAAGATGTGGGGGATGCCCAAAATGAGATATGCTGACTGTAATGGTTCGGAAACGAGTGAGGAGACAGAAATCATTGTTAACATCGGGGGAGTACGGCAAGTTCTCTATGGGGATGTTCTTAATCGCTACCCGGGGACCAGGCTAGCGGAACTGGTGAACTGCTCCTCTGGGGGTTATGATGCTATTTTCTCCTTGTGCGATGACTACGACCCAGGTAAAGGGGAATTTTATTTTGACCGGGACCCGGACGCTTTCAAATGTATCATAGACGTTTATTATTTTGGGGAAATCCATATGAAAAAGGGAATTTGTCCCATCTGCTTCCTAAACGAAATGGAGTTTTGGAAAATCGACCCAAGCTTCCTGGATGAGTGCTGTAAAAGCAATTTGAGTGAGAAAAGGGAAGAACTGGAAGAAATTGCTGGCAGAGTTAAATTGATACTGGACGATTTGGAAGGGGATCCCTCCGCTACCCGCTGGCAAAAGTGCCAAAAGTTTCTGTGGAAATTCATGGAGAAGCCGGAGTCCTCCTTGCCAGCGCGCGTGATTGCTATCGTGTCTTTCTTTTTCATCTTGATTTCCTCAGTGGTCATGTGTATGGGGACCATCCCGGACTTGCAAATCGAAGACGCGGAGGGCAACCATGTGGAACACCCCACTTTAGACTCCATCGAGACCGCCTGCATAGGGTGGTTCACCATTGAATATATTCTCCGCTTAATATCATCGCCAAATAAGCTGCACTTCGCCCTGTCGTTCATGAACATTGTTGACTTTCTAGCCATCATGCCGTTCTACGTCAGTTTAACCCTAACCCACCTTGGAAACAAGATGATGGAACTGACCAACGTTCAGCAAGCTGTACAGGCTCTCCGCATCATGAGGATCGCCCGCATTTTTAAACTAGCACGGCACTCTTCTGGACTCCAAACCCTCACCTACGCCCTGAAACGGAGCTTTAAAGAGCTGGGTCTGCTGCTGATGTACCTGGCAGTGGGGATCTTCGTCTTCTCAGCCCTGGGGTATACCATGGAACAGAGTCACCCCGAGACGCTTTTCAAGAGCATCCCACAGTCTTTCTGGTGGGCCATAATTACCATGACCACTGTGGGGTACGGTGACATCTACCCTAAGACCACCCTGGGCAGATGCAATGCCGCCATAAGTTTCCTGTGTGGGGTGATCGCAATCGCGTTGCCCATTCACCCCATTATAAATAACTTTGTCATCTACTATAACAAACAGAGAGTGCTGGAGACCGCGGCCAAGCATGAGCTCGACCTCATGGAGCTACACGCTGGCAAGGCTACCAGGGAAACCGGGAAACCGAGCAGTACCACTGCGGCGCTGGAGAGCAACCTGAAAATGTCACATAGCGACACTTACATCCCGCTGTTATCAGACTCGAACTATAGGACAAGACTCCAAAGCTGTAAATAACTGGCTTTAAGATTTTCGATTTGTTTATCAAAGACCGGGACGTCTTGTGCAATGTAAGGGTTCAAACGGCGATGGAATTTAGGCGCTTAGGACTGAAATACACTCATCTTAAAAGAACATGGAAAACAGTGCGCATAGCTATTCCAAAATAAGATTTTCTGTCATGATGTGTGTTTTTTGAGCAGTTATGCATTTTGCATGAATATCTACGTAGTGTACAATTCGTAGGATATTTATCGAAATAATATAATGAAACGTATCAGAATCGATTTTCGTAAATGAGAATGCATTAAAAATAAAAGGAAACGTAGTTTAACAAACAGCAGTATCATGCTTACCAAAGGTTACAATCTTTTCGCAAAACTGTAAAGTTCTGTGTAGTGTCCTTTTCCTAGAACTGGATTTTGTTATTTTATCTCCTCTTTGCCGTGTTTAAATACAGTACGTCCGACGGGAGATGTTCACATTTATCTTTCATTTTTAACCCTACGTAGTAGCAATACCCGAATTACTAAAAAATATCCATGACTAATAATAACCGCTGTCGTAGCCTGTACTTTGTTAATATGGATAATACTCGAATTAATTATAGAGGACTAAATTCAAACTGTATTTTTCACCACTTCATGTTACATTGGAAATATGATTACAGTACATCTTGGTCTACTGGTTGGAGCAGCATTTTGTAAGACTGTGAATAGATCTCTGAATGGTGATACTATAGTTATTTGAAAACAAATTGATTTATTTCAGTTAACGCTAAACTGTATCGCCGTCCGATGCGTGTTTCTCATTTAACACGGTATTGTAATTTTATTTATGGACTGTCATATTTATAATTTTAACTTTTAGCTCCAAATTACTGTATCACCCAATCTGCATTATTCTCTCGTGCGTTACCTTCTGTGTTAAGTATATCTTCTTATATCGCATGTCTTAGTTCGATTGCAAGACAAAAGAAATGAAAAGGTTGAAGAACCCCTTTAAAAGTGGAATTCAAATGTTAGTAGGTTATGTGAAACACGTACAAAGATGGTTTGACACTGCAGAAGTAAATCTCATGTTCTTAAATTGTAACGTTTTCTTGTAAGTATTGAGAAAGATTAAATCATTTATTCTATACATTAAGATAGACACGTATCTTCTTTTTTAACAAATGAAAACGTAAGAATAAATGTACTCGTTTTCAGATTTCTGCTCCTATACAAACAGATAGGAGCAGAACAGAAGACTGAAACTTAAAACACGTATTTTCTATCACTACAAGTACGTATCCCCAATGTTCCACTTTTATCAGCAATTCGAGACCTTTCGGGTGTATTCCATGATCATGGCGATTGAAAACTCACAATACGCCTGTTTTGAATCGAACATAAATAAGCCTATGAATAGGGAGTAAGAGTGTTTCATTTGAAAAATTATTATAACGAATTTGCTCAGATATTGTGCATCACTAAATATATAGTTTATCATACAGTATATATCCACGTTATTCTTAGTTTAAGTAGAAGCGACTTTGTTTTTATTATAAACATCATCACATGACTTCAATAAATCTAAAAGTATAAAAAGAAAAAGTAAAAAGATTTAAACCGACAGTCGTTACTTGTACTATACTGTAGTTAACATGCGTGTTAGATTGAAAGTATTTCCTTTTGAAAAATGTGAAAAAATATTATAGACATTATAAAAATAATACAGATGCTAGAATTTGTGAGAGGTGCAAAGTTAAGGTATTCTAAATATTTGAACTGATATTTTAATAAAACATTAAAAGAGAAAAATCAGATTTACAGAACGTCTTGGTTTCTTAACGTCTTGTTTTGATTAAAAAAAGAAACGCCTGTGTTTCATTATACCAAAAATAAATACCATAAATGTCACAAACAGAATAAAGACGGAATGGATTCCTTGCATGTGAGGAATTTGTTGCACTGAGCTGATGGTCTCATGCAGCAGTTTGTTGAGGGATCCCAGGTAGGCATTATAGAAATATTGCTGTAATGCATGGATCATTTCTTTCTGACAACCACAGCTTTTTGAATAAGCATGCCTTTGGTGCTAAATGATGTCAGCCAAGGACTCAAGACCTGCAGGACAGTTTTTAAAAGGCAAAATAACAACATAACAAGGTGATTCCTAAAAGCTCATCTGGGTTTATATAAAGCGTAGGTTTGTCCCATTGTCCCATTGATTCATAAAAGCCACATATAGCGATTCCAATAAATTAATCAGTCTATACAAATCTTTTTGACACATACTTTACATTTAATTTCAGGACAAGTCATACAAATTAACCCTCTCTTCTAACTAATTTTGCTACAGTATCTGCCGGACATATTTAATGCAAGGCTGTCCTGTGCTGTCTGAACTACCCAGCCTAAGTCCAGTATACAGTATCTACAGTAGTTAGTTTCTTTCGTACAAGCTGCCTTTCTTCTGATTTCCCCATTAGTCTCCTGCCTCACTGTGTTTACCCTCTGAAAGCCACCAGCTAGATAGATAGCCAGATAGAGAAAGATTAAGAACATACAGCTCCTGACAAAGGGTATTACTTTCATGTTGTTGTGAACTGAAAAACAAAACAAAACACTTTAGTTTTACATTTCTTTTGGAGATGGGCAATTAACTTGTATATGTTTCTTAACTAGATGATATTTTAATTAATATTGACAGACATTCCCTTATTTCTACTATATCACCACTATATTACCCCATATTACTACTACTATGAATACTAAGAGTGATATATTATTTTTATTTTACTGATATGAGCATTTAGCTACCAAGGTTGGACAACTGAAAGAATGATATTACAAAATACATGAGGGCATCATCCCTAGGCCATAAAACCGTTTTAATTTGCTGTTTAACAATCTGAAACCTATCAATAGGTTGTTTTAGGCTTTGCTCTACAGTAAGAGTTATGGACTGGATCCATTAATATTCTTCACCTGCTGTTAGGCAAAAACAAAAATGGCCATACAATTACTTTCCTTCTTATCAAAACAATTTTTTGGGATGAATACATCTGATAATAATAATAACATCACTTTATTAACCCTTTACAATTTCTTGCATTAGGAATTATCTTTTCAAATACCCCAGCTTGCTCTCCATGAGACACACAGATAGGGAGAGAAGCTTGTGGTCAGAGCGCAGGGTCTGCCATTGTACGGTACCCCTAGAGCAGTTGGGGTTAAGGGCCTTGCTTAGGAGCCCAACAGAGTAGGATTCCTCTGCCAGCTGTGGGATTTGAACCAGCAACCTTCCAGCCACAGGCCCAGAGCCACCACTCTGCCCAGTATGATGTCATACTGGAGTGTTTAGTGGAGCTTTTAAGGTAACTTTTTTTGCCAGCCTGGATGGAGATTGCAGTATGCTACTAATGAATACAAAGCGCTGGCAGGCCCAAAGTGAATGTGATAAACGTATCCCCAGGATTTAATGTGTACCCATTTGTATTTCTGTTATTTTCAGCCATTAACATGTGGGCAGGCAGATTAATAGCAGGTCTACAGCAGCTTGTTTTTCTGTCCACCCACACATGCCCAGCCATATCTCTGTTTCAGCCAAGCAGCAGGCACTTTTTCATCCTCCTAGACCAGACCTGTCATTCCTTTTGTGGAGATCCACAGTGCCCATTGACAGGTCAAATATTTCGGATGGTTGCATTGCTAGAGATATACACCTGCTTGGTGCATTGTGTTAAAATATAGCTATAGGTCAAATTGTGTGTGTGAAATTGCTACAGTATCTCTTTTCTCCTGCCAGGCCATCCTTTTCTTCAATAAGTAGGAGACAATGAACATAATTCATTGCTAACCAAAAATACAAGGGTGAGAGATAGAATAAAAAGCTTTAATTATTTTTGAAGTCTCTCTGTGTTACTAATTAGCGGTGAAATATTTCATTTTCAGATTACTATTGTGGTTTACCAAAAGTTTAAAAAAGCAGCAGAAGGGATAGGATTGGTTATTGGAAATGAAAAAAATAAATAAAAAAGTGACATTTCAGTGAAATGCCTAGCGAAAGTATTCGAGTCCTTGCTCAGTTTTCACATTTTATTGCTTTAAAGCTTGCTGTCATGATACTTTAAAGTAGCAATTAATATTTGTAATATACACAACCTACACTACCTACTCCACACATTCAAAGTGACAAACAACAAAAAAGAAATAGATAACTAATATGAAAGAAAAATGTAAAAGACAAGATAGTATCATTTTTCAAACCCTTTGCTATGGTGAACCTAAATTAATTGAGGTGCACAAAATAACCTTAGAAAGATATACAATTCGTTAAATGTTCCTTGTCTGTGTGCAAAAACTAGTGATTCACATGATTTCAGAGTAAATACAAATGTGTCTGTGTAAGATACTTCAGTCAGGTAGTGAATTTCAAAGATGGAACCATGAAGACCATGGAGAATTCAATGGATAAAGTTTTAAAAGACAGGCGATTAGGGAAGGTTTAAAAAAGACACTGAATATCCCTTTGAGCATGGTGAAGGTGGTCGTTAAGACACTGCCTAGATTAAGCTATCCTTCCAAACTGAACAGCTGACAATTAGGAAACTGATTTGAAATGCCAACATGAGGCCAACAGCAACAGTCTGAAAAAGCTACAGAGTTCAATGGCTGAAATCACCAGGTCTCTTGTGCAGAGCAGATGAAGTGGAGCACAATAAAAGCACAGCAAACTAAAGCAATTATTATTATTATAACCACAGTGGGTATACATGGATAAAGGAGTGTGTTCCCCTTTAAGAAATTCCCCCCAGTTGCCTACCTGCCTATCTGTCACACATGGAGCAGTACTTTTTAATGGCTTGACTTTCTGACTGTTGTTAGTATGTCATTTATTTGCATAGGAACCTTGATTCTGGGTAGATGGGCCCACACCAGGCAGCAGGCAGCTGAGCATCTTAGTTGAAGAACAGAATGAACATAAGAAAGGTTATAAATGAAAGGAGGCCATTGGCTGATCTAATATATTCAATTGCTAGTAGCTGTGTGATTCTAGGATCTGATCCAGTTGCCTCTTGAAAGAAAGAAGCCTGGGAATCGGCTTTGGCAATATGCTAGATAGTTCCACAATCTTTATTGTGAAGAAATACCTTCTCCTCTCCATTTTAAATGCACTTCCCCTTAGATTTCACTCTTGTCCTTTCATTTGTGTTTGGTAGAGGTCTGATAAAGCCAGATGAAGTGAATGTCTGCTGAAGTCCTCTGGGTGGTCTTTATAAATGCCTCTGAGGATTTTGCACATTTAGTTCAAGTCCCCTCATTGCCTTCTCTTTTCAAGACTGAAAGGGTTCAGCTGTTTTAGCCTGTCAGTGTAGGACATTCCTTTAAGCTCTGGGCAAACAAATCTAAAGTCTAGACAGCTATCAGAAATATTGGCGACAAGGATAACAATTGTATTTTTAAATAGGTGCGTGCACACATAAATTAGCTTTCCACAGCCCAGCTTGTATTTCAAACCAATGATTGTCTTTGACAAGATAGTCCTACAGATTTATTGTCCGGAGCCAACAGCAAACAATGACTCTTGATTAATGACAATAAAAACCAGGCACAGGAAGAAGTCTACTGAGATTGCAGAACATTGTGCTGTAGATTGGCTGAAACATGGATGTGACTTACTTAGCTCTTCTCTTTTAAAAATACAACAGTAAGAGACCTGTTCTGAACTATTTATCATACACATGCATAAAATATTCTATTAATTAGCCTTCAAGGCTACTATATTTAGGAGGTCTACTTTTGTCTGCAACCTACTCAATGCAGAGCGACATAGACTAGAGTGTCATGCATATTGAGTGAGCACCCTTTAAACTAATACTGCAAATCTTCAGACTTTTTCATTGTTTTTCTGCTTGGCCTATTAAACCTGGAGCCCCTATTAAAAGTAATATTTCTATTTTTATAATTCTAGTATGAACATGAGCTGTACACTGTTATAATTAAGAGATTCTGTGAAAACTGCTCAGGAGCTGTATTCAGGGAAAAAAATGTGGTTCTGAGAAATTAACACATCCACAGGAAATCTGTATTCTTTCTCTAATATTAAATCAAAACACATCCTATAACCTGTGGTGCTTCCTTTTTTTCCTCTAACTGCTG